GAAGTTGTTTTGAGTCTTCTACGTTCGTGAATGAATTGATTGATGTTAAGGACAGCAGATGGGTCGTATACGCCGAGGAGGCTAGGCTATTTCTGAGAATGAAATGCACACGGAGATAATTGTTAGGTGCGGTCCCACACGCCGGGGAAAAAAGGTGTAAACGACTGAGGCCGAATGAGTGACAAGCAATTGCAGTGGTAATTGGTAGTGAGTAGATAAGACGATGTGCGTGGAGTATCGTGAGGTGGTGCTATGGTCACGTTGCATTCTGCAAGAGTCATTCTAGCAAGTGGCGATTGTGTTGCAAGAGGATGTGTTAAGAGGATGGCTTTAACTGGAAGGCGGAGATCGTCATTGATGTGTGAGATTGTGCTGTGAGTATGCTTGTGGTGTGTTGGCTTTTCTGTTTGTTTTCCATTTCAGCTCTGTCCGTGTGACCCAGGTTCTCGCAATGGCATCCAAGTCAACGTGTATTGGTCGTGATGGAAAAAAGGGATGGATCCCTTTTTTGCCGGGGAGTGTCAATGTAGCTGAAGATTGAACGATCAATTCATGGTTGTTTGCTCAAAACCAACTTCCCCAATTTTCGTGGAGGCATCAATACGACAGTCATCGTCTCATCGGTCGCTGTTCAGAAAGAAGTCAGGAGACAACCGTCAGAAGTAATATTGTGATTTATTATTGTAATATTTGTTCACAGACCTTAGTCATACGTCATTTATATGTTGGTGTTACAATAAAGAATCCTCGAGTCAACAATTGGTGCTTTGGTTTTCGCGTCCGTTCGTGCTAAGCATTTCTGAGAAACTTCAAGGAACAGCGTGAGTCCCAGCGTAGCAAGAGCTGGGCATTGACGGTTTGCGAGACGTGGCTGACATACGTTCTGCCTTACTTAGGACCCTTTCTAGAATGTGTGAGTCGCCTTTAAGACAAGATGTGGCTGTCTGGACATAGTTTTCTAGTCTTGACCTCATCAGGGATGTTTATAAGGAGGTGAACATATCTCTGGTGATTCAAGTAAAGGCTCTGCGGATCGCCCAAAAGCATCTGAAACCACGTGCAGGAACTTTGAAACAGCGTGCTGTAGTTTTCAAATCGTGGCTAACTAAATCCTAATGAGTCTGAACTGATTGGAGAGTTATTCCCTCTGGTTCGTAGGAGCTGATGCGTGCTTGTCTGATGAGCATGGTTGCAAATTCTACCACATTGATCGGGATCATCCATTCTCTGGACCACTCTGACAATTTGTTGGGATCCTTTTGCAACGTGAGCGCATCACCGGTGCGCTACAGCTCCCTCCAAATTTTTAAGTCATCTGCTCATAGGAGCATTGGGAAATCGCTGAGCAAAGATAACTCACTGATATACAAAATAAATTGGAGAAGTCCTAGTACCGTGCCTTGTGGCACTCCTCTACCCACTGCTGCCCAAGAGGAGGTTTTCGAGTTGATTCTAATTCTCTGCCTCCTATCTATGAGGAATTCCCTAATCCAGTTAAGTAACCTGCCTTTGATACCAAGACTTTCCAATTTCATGAGTAGTCTTTTGTGAGGTACTTTATCAAAGGCTTTACTGAAGTCTATGAAGACGACGTCAACGGGTCTTCTGTCATCCTTTGATTTAACCCAGCTTTCTCTTGCAGTCAGGAGATTTGACAGGCATGAGAGGTTCCTCCGGAAGCCATGCTGTGCTCCAGATAACAAGCTGCTATTTTCCAGATAAGCCATGATGCTTTTCTTGATAATTCTTTCCAGTGTCTTGATTAAAGTGCTGGTGAGACTGATAGGCCTGTAATTTGAAGGGCTTTGTCTTGATCCTCCTTTGTGTATGGGAGTTACTATGGCGTCTTTCCAATCACGTGGCAACACTCCATTTTGGAGAGATAGCTTGAAGATCGTGGTCAAGGGGCCGGCTATGTGGGCTGATAGCTCCTTGAGAAGCCTTGGATGAAGACTGTCAGGACCCATTGATTTTCCTGCATCTAGTTTCATTAAGAAGTTGAGCACGATGCCTTGGTCGATGTCAACGGAATCTATCCCATGTTCTTCTGATGCAGCCAGAGCTGATCCTATAGGCAGTGATGACTCCTGAGTGAAGACTTGGGAGAAGTAGTTTGCCATTGCTTCTGCTTTTTCTTGATCTTCTTCGATTGTATCTTTGTCAATAATCAGGTTTGGGACACCATTGGGTGTTTTATTCCTGAAGTTCATGTACGAGATTTTCTTAGGTCGTGCTTTAGCATTTTGAGCCAGATGTGCTTCGAACTTCGTCCTTGACTGGCGGATTTCTGCAATAACTTTATGACCAGCAGTGTTATATAATTTCCTCGTCCTAAGAGTCTCAAGTGTGGCAAACAGGTTCCAGCATTTGTATTTACGTCTGTGTAATTTGCGGATGTCTCCGTTTGTTCAAGGGGGAAATATTGTCGAACCTTTGGGACGGATCAAGGGATGAAAGGTTCAGTTACTTGGGCGTAAAGTTGTTTAAATTGGTTCCATGCGGCTTCTACTTAGGACTCTGGGTTGATGTACCAGCTCACTGAGTTAGCTGCTGAGACGATCGCACTTATATCAGCTTTCCAAACGTTTCGTCAAGCTAGGGTTTCAGCCCTTTATTATTATTATTGCTCCCTTGGGTTCCTAGTAGAACGTAGGGCTTCAACTGCACGCATCCATTTTCTTCTGTCTTCTGCTATACTTTTCGCCTGCATCTATGTTAATCCATATTCTTTCAACTCCTCTTCACACGATCTCCTCCATGTCACCCTTGCACTGACGTCCCACTCGCCACTTCCCTTTCGGGTTCCACTCGAGGGCTTGGCACGCGATGTCACCCAGCGGTCTCCTCAGCGAGTGTCCAATCCATCTCCACTTTCTCCTGCATATTTGTTGGGCGATTGGTTCTTGCTTTGTTTGTTCCCATAATTCCTTGTTGGTGATTCTTTCCGGCCATCTGATCTTCAGTATTGAGCGAAGACAGTTGTTAATAAAGGTGTGCAGCCTTTTGGAAATATTCTTTGTGACCCGCCAAGTTTCTGATCCGTATGGAAGAACTGACTTTACGTTTGTATTGAAAATCCGAATTTTGTTGTTGATGTTGAGTGACGAAGATCTCCAGATTGATTTCAGGCTGATGAATGTGTTTCTCGCCTTCCCGATTCTCGCTCAATTTGACATCCTCGTCCGCTCCTCCTGTAGTTGAGACAATGCTCCCTAGATAAGTGAATGAAGTAACCTCTTTCAAATCCCTCCCGTTGATGGTGATTGACGTTGGATGTTGTTGCTGTTGTTGGTTGGTTATTTTCATAACCTCCGTCTTGTCTATGTTTACCTGGAGTCCTGTCTTCACTGTCTGCTTCTTCGACCAGTTTGTCGGTTTTCGCTTGTAAGTCTTCGATTTTGTGACAGTGACATCAAACATAAGTCATCCGCGAAATCCAGGTCTTCTAGGTTCTTCACGTCAGTCTAGGATATTCCTGTCTTCTCGTTTCCCACAGTCTGACGCATAATCCAGTCCACCACAATTAGGAATATCATTGGTGACAACAAGCACCCTTGTCTGACTCCTGTGTTTACTCCAAACGCCTCGCTGAGTTTTCCGTTGTGGATCACTTGACATGTGCCGTTGTCGTACAGCTGTTGAATAGGGTTGATGAATATTTGGTGTACGCCGTAGTACTCCAGTAGTTTCTAAATTACTTCGCGGTCAACACTGTCGGAGACCTTCTCAAAATCTGTAAAGTTGAAGTAGAAGTTTGATTGCCATTCCATGCTTTGTTCTGTGGTGATGATGCGTAGAGTTGCAATTTGGTCAGTACATGATTTGCCCTTGGCGCAGTATTTTTATTATTATTTATTTTTGTTTTTTATTTTTTATTACAGCTTGATTCCATACTGTACTTTTTGTACAAGCATGGGATTCTCAGCATGGATATCGGTAGCCCAAATTTTGCAGGCCGATCGTAGATATCAGGTGTGCGTCGGCAGGGGATCGAACCTCAGGCCATGTGCATGGTCGGCGAGAGTCCTAACCACTGTGCCACCGACGCAGGGGGAACTTGTTAGTGAGCACAGCGTGATCACTTCTTCCTAAGGGAGGAAGTTGTTGTGTGAGATCCACATCCTCACCGTGAGATAACACCAGATGCAGAGTTGAGGAGTTCTATGAGCCATAATGCGTGGGCTCAATGACAGGTTGGACCAGGGCTAGCGGAATGTTAGATTCCAGCAGTTTATGATCAAAGGAGTTGACTGAAGATGGAGTTGTAAGGCTCGTCCAGCGATCTGTTGGGGCGTTGAAGTCGCCGACTACGAGACTTCGACTGGGGTATATAGCAATGAGGTCAACATCTTGGCCTGTGCATTTTAAGTCTGCAGTGTTGAAGTTCTCAATATTCACTTTCGCCAGCGAGTGCTTTGGTGACACGCATGGTTAAGCATTTCTTGTGGTAGATGACTACGCCACCTCCACTGATGTTTAGTTGGTCCACCCTATGCATTTCGAAGTTTGGCAGGTTAAATTCTTTGTCAGTGACATCGGGTGTGAGCCACGTCTCTGTGATGACAATTACATCCAGATTTATGCAGTCTATCGTACTACCCAGTTCAGTCCGTTTGTTCAGTAGGACTTACCCTATTTTTCCACTCGAAACGGAAGGAAATAAAAGGGACGTATCTACACTCTACTTTTACTTTGTGGCCTTAGCCTAGACTGTTTTTGCATACTAGACCATAGGTACTCCTCGATCATTTGTACTGTCAATTTCTAATCAGTGAACGTTGTTGAGTAGCGAGAGGAGGAAGATCATTCATGCTTGACGGTAATTGCCCTCACTGCCTGTCATAAAGCCAGCAAAATACTTCGTGAAAGGCAACCAGGTGTTTACGAAGTTCGAAATATTACTGCTCAAATAGGAAAATAAAATGCTAATAAGACGTTTGGTGAGCTTACTTCTAATTACCATTTCGTCTGTCTGTTATAACCAAGAGATCAATAGTTACATGCAGGCAGATCAAAAGTATGTCTTGAATACCGCAGCCAGCGTTTAGGCGGACACAACTATGTGAATTTATCGCATACAAGAAATACAGTCATGGGTTACTCCTATCCACAATTGACGGTCTAGGTCAACTAGGCTTTTAGAGAGAGCATTCAAAGTAGGTGCTATGACCTAACTAAGAAACAACTAGCTACCCAAGTGAAGAGGTGTTTTTGAGGTGACCTTTCGCCATCGGAAGTGAACATTGAACGTTGGTTCACTGACCAGTGGTGGGCAACTCGAAGGCGTGAATGGTTCCGTCGATTGCAGGCTCGACGAAGACGAACGAAAAGGAATAAAAGTACATAATAATTTTGTATAAAACATTTGTTTATGGACTTGTGTTATTCTACGCTTTAATTGCCAAACAGTCTAGCTTCCTTCTTACAATACTGGCGTTTTGGAGTTTAAGTCGAAGAAAGTACATAGTATTTATCGGTGAGGAGCGTCTTCGTAACAATCGAAACTTAGGGATAAGTCTCTTTTCATCTTTTGTGTTTATGCAAACCTTTTGAGGACTCAGGAGAGTTGCTTATCTCGTTCACACCTGTCTTCGTTGAGAACTATTTTCTAATTCTGCGTAATTATGTTTCTAAGCCCCCTCTGAATTTCATATCGCGTTGGGAAATTATTATCGCCTTTAATCTACTGTATTATAATTGTATCCATAAAGACTTATGTTCATAAATGTGATTGTACAGTCTTTGAGTATGAAATCGCCGAAAAGACAGATATCTCTGCTAACGCTTGTTCTTTTCTCTCAAATTTGCCGTTAATGAGGGTTTGAATGACCTTTTATTCATCGGGTTTAGTGTGGCATTTGTCATAACGCCTCAAGACAGATTGGCAGATAAAATGGGAAGTTTTGAATCTTGGTTGGCCTACTTACTTAGGTCAGAGTATTCCTTGTCCGATCGAGACGATTCAACATAGTCAAGTGTTACAAAGTGATATATCACTACTGTCTATGCTCGACTTTTCTTTATAAGTCTGTATATCATTCATTTACCCGGTCACAACAAACATCATATACAAAAGCTTGGACAGCACTCTAAAAGGATGAAGTCATCCACTACAGAACATATCGCAACAAGCTGCTAAGTTGGTCTAAATAATAGATACTCTTTATTAACATAATGGATAACGCGATCTTGGGCTCTGCGAACGCGTGTTAGTATAATCCTTAGGGAATGTTTTTCGTGCCAGTTTAGACTCACATTAACTCGTTTCAAAGTTTTGACTTAAGAAATACAGCACACTGATACCTAGTAAGAAATCACGGCGTTAGAACCTTATGAGTAATTCGTAGAACATTTACTATCCACCTTCGTCATCGATTGATCCTCCGCTTAATATGCATCTGCTGAGACCTAAACATACAGCCAGCATCCAAGAAGTCGCCTTTTATAATAATAATAATGATAATTTTATTTTCATATAAACATATAAATTTACATGAAAATGCATGCCATTTTTACAGGCACAATCAAGTATGGTATAATGTCAAATCGTAGATTGTCTACAAGTTAATAATGTTTCAACAGTTAAATATTTGATATATATAAATACACATTGTCTGAACTAGGCTGTATAGTTATTGAATCGTACAATTGTCCTCCAGGTTGAGCGGGAAAACTGACTTCGTTTCGTTTTCATCCCGTGGTTGTCGGCATACGATAACCAACCAATATTGAGGTAAATACAACTTTTACAAAGGATTGAAAGCTGTTTTAGAAAAGTTAAAGTGCTAAGTTGAATCATTAAAGTGTAATAAATTAAGTAAGTGCAATATAACATTAATAAATACATTTATATAGGAAACAGAATGGGGAAGTAATTGATCCTTAGGCCGACAACGTTCATTTGCAATGTATAATAATACCCATATACTTCCTACTATCATGATGTCCACTTTTGGCTTTAATGCAATTATTTTCAATCCAGTTGTTTTTATTTCATGCCTTTTTGTCTATTTGGTGCACAACCGTACCCTACAGAGAATAGGAATAGAATAAGTCGAATCGAATTCATATAGAGCCATAAAATGTTAGGTTTAATGGAATATAATGAGGACCAAGTAAAGACGTTACTAGAAAATAAATGAGATGAGACATTGTGAAGTGGTATTTAAAGATCCGACAATGGACAGCAAGTTAGTTTATAAGATGCCCCATAAATCTGTGCAGATCCCGCGTGGTCGCATCTCAACAATGGGCTGAGCGAATGGTATATATTCAAAGGTAGAAGCATGATCTGTCTAGGCGTTCATTATTATCTTTTTCAAGATAAAGATCTAAGTCCTCATAAAAATCATGGAAATCTCGAACCGTCAAATTGGATATTGCTGTTCCTGCAGAATGGGGCGATTAACTTTGTGACCACCACCATATCTACTGATCAGCTAATGCCACCCTCCCTACCTTCAAGTGAACTTATAAATATTAAAAAAAGTTAAAGGAAAGCCGGAAATGCGATGCTTGACACGACTACTTAATCATATGAAAAACGATATTAAAGTGTGTTTTCTAATACCAGAGGCAGGGATGTCAAACCACTATCATTATTGTCTTCTTTAGGTCCTGGAGACACACACAGCTTCAGAGGCACATCCCCATTGCGTTCGGTTTCGTGCCAACGATTTCGCTTGGCTGTACGTATACCTATGTGCTTTCATCTCCTCGTCTCATGACTTCCTCCTGTCACCCTCACACTGACGATTCAATCACCGCTTCCTACTCGGGTCCCACTTGAGGGACTGTCTTGTGATGTCACTTGGTGGTTTTCTCAGAGTATGGAAAATCCACCTCCATTTCTTCCTGCCTATTTGTTTCACAATTGCTGCGTTGGTTCGCTCATTGCCAGAGATCCTAGTTGCTGATCTTTTCTGGCCGGCCATCTGATCGTGAGTAGTATTAAGCGAAGATAGCTGCTAATGAAGGTCTGTAGTTTGTTTGAGGTGCTCTTTATGACGCGCCAAGTCTTTGATCCGTGTGGTAAGTAGCACTGACTTCACACTGGAGTTGAAAATCCGGATCTTATTTTTGATGCTGAGTGCTGTTGACCTCCACACAGACTTAAGAGTAATGAAAGCTTGTCTTGCTTTCATGATATCCTCGTCAGTTCCGTCGGCCTGTAGTTGAAACGATGCTTCCCAGGTAGGTGAAGGAAGTTGATTCTTTCAGGTCCCTCCCATTTATGCTGATTAATGTTGTTGCAATTGGTGTTGGCCAGGAATCTTCATCACCTCTGTTTTATCTATCTTCACTTGAAGTCCTATCTTTGATGCTTCTTCTGCCAGCTTGTTGCTTTTCACCTGCATATCTTCCAGTTTGTGGGAAATCGGACATATATCATCGGCGAAGTCCAGATCCTCCAAGTCTTTTGTGTGAGTCCAATTTATGCCTGTTTCCTCGTTGTCTGCTGTCTGTCACATTATCCAGTCTACCGCAATCAGGAAGATCATTGGCGATATCAAACAGCCTTGCCTCACTCCCGTCCCCACTTCGAAGGTTTCTGTAAGTTTCCCTTTGGCGTACAACTGTTGGATGAGATGTATAATTGTCGGTGGCACCCCGTAGTAGCGAAGTGGTTGCCAAATGACCACTCGATCGACGCTGTTTGCTGAAGGTCTTTGCAAAGTTGATGAAGTTGAGATAGAGAGGTGACTGCTATTCCAAGGTTGGTTCACTGATGATCCGTAGTGTGGCGATCTGATCAATACATGACTTGTTTCTCCTAAATCCAGCTTGTTCTGGTCGAAGGTTTTCATCCAGGGCTTGTTTGATTCTCTCCAAGATGATGCGACTTAGTATATCGCTTGAAATGGACTGGAGCAAAATTCTGCGCCAGTTCTTGCATTCACCTAAAACCCCTTTCTTTGGAAGTTTGAATAAGTATCCTTTCTTCAAATCCTCGGGTACCTTGCCCTCTTCCCACACCTTCTCCAGTAGTGATGTCATCAAGTACGTCGATGTCTCTGGGTCCACTGTCAATGCTTCTGCGTGGATTCCGTCCAGTCTTGCTGCTTTTACAGGTTTTGAGCATCGTTTTGGCCTTCAAGATTTCTGCTTTCATAGAAAAGTTAGCATCCACTGGTAGTTCTGCTTCCGCTGTCGGCATTATTAGAAGTGTTGTAGGTACCTGTTGGTTAAGCAGCCTTTTTGAGGTATTCACCTCAGTGTTTCCCGTGCTCCGCCTCTTTGGTGATAACATTTTTATTGTCAGTCTTCACTGGCCTAATATGTGTTGATCTTTTCCCCGATACACAGTAGTTGTCTGGTTGGGTGTTGCGAGGTCTCCTTCGCCCGCGACATGTTCTGCTTAACATGACATAGCTCCATGACATTGTCTTTTGCCTTTCGGTTTATCTGCAGCTTCTGCTTTTTTGAAAGATTTCAATCTGACTTGGAGTATTCCATGCACTATATAGTGATCTAAGCCGATGTCTGCACCTCTTTTCACTTTTGCGTCCAATCACTTGCGTCTCCACATCCTTGAGCAGCACTGACATGAAGTCAATCCAGTTTCTGTTTCGCCCATCTGGTGACAGCCATATGTCTAACCATGTTCCTATTGTTCTAAGAAATCCCTATCGATTTGGTCTATATTCTTTTTTCCATCAGGTAAGAAAATCTTACACAAGGAATGTTCAAAAGGTCAGTATGAACTAAACCGAAGTGGCATACTAACAGTAATAAATGAACCCTTTGAATAGACCTCCACAATAATTAAGAGCTGATCACTACAACAAGAAAACAGACAGGTTGTGTCAACTAATGGTAGGTATTTATATAGCCTGAGAGACTTTCATCCTGGTTAAACATCCAGTAACACATGGTGTCAGTCAAGTTTCATAAACTGTCAATGTCTAGCTCTTGCTACGCTGGATCTCACGCTGTCCCTCGAAGACTTTCAGAAGCGCTTTGTATTAAGCAACGCGAAAACCAGAACGCTGATTGGCGACTCAAGAAACATTTATT